GGGGGGGGGGGGGGACAAAAATGACCAAAACAAGGAAAAAATATAGCCTCAACCCTGCCCCCAACCTAAAACCAAACGGATCTCCCATACTGACACCAGTGCGACGTGCCCCCCATGCCCGTGCGCCCCCCCCATACAAAAAAACAGTACATTCTAGGCACTGTGGGGGGGGGGGGGGGNGGGGGGGGGGGGGGGGGGGGGGGGGGGGGGGGGGGGGGGGGGGGGCAGAAAAACTTAACACAAAACGACAAAATATAAGCCAAAATGGGTTATTTTGACTTTTATCGAAGGGGATGTTACGTTTTTTTTTCTCATCATTTCCGTCTGCTCTTCTCCTTTCATATGAACCCAAGTTTATTATCGTCAACACAAGTATACCCAAACGGTTTCACGCCCATAACCATACAGACTTCAGGGACAGAGGAAATGTATCTTTTGTAGGAAATATGCAAGGAAAGACAATACAAACAAACTCTAACGGGCGTGGGAAAAGGACATTATCAACAGAAGCAACTAACTGCTGTGTCATCGCTCGCAAGTTATGATCCGGATCTTTACCTGTCAGTAAAACACCACGCGGGACTCTTCGACAACAAAAGGGCGAACATTTCATGTTTGGCGTCCAACTCGTACAGAGACTGCCTTACACCCCACGAAAGGAACGACGGTCATCAAACACCGACATACGCGCCCCGCACATTTTGAGTACGCCTTTACAGGAGGTGACCACAAATGAAATGTTTGATGCCTCGGTGACTTCCCACGGAGGCTACCGTGACCATCCACGGTACAACATAATAAAGTTTTCCTGGGGAGAACGTTGACCCAGGACCGTTGCAGATGACATGAACCTTGATTATCACACCCACCCGTGCTCCTCTCTAGCACAACAGCAGTCTCAGACAGACAGTAAACACATATGTGCGTGCTCTCCAGGAGGGCACGGGGATTGCAATCCCATACACCTATTATGCTAATAAATCACGATAAGGCGAAATCCTGGGGGAGGGGGGGGGGGGGGGGGG